ACCTGTCAACACGTGTGCACTCTGTTCTCTGTGACTCACCTGTCAACACGTGTGCACTCTGTTCTCTGTGACTCACCTGTCAACACGTGTCCTCTTTGTTCTCTGTGTCTTATTTGCCATGTGCCCACTCAGGTGACCTGTGTCCCTTTACCCCATGTGACTCACCTGTTGATCTATGTCCCTGTGTCTTCCACAACTCACCATTGAACCTTTGTCCCCACCTGTCCTCCGTGGACTTTAGGATCTGCTGGGTGAATTGTTTATCCCACTGGAGACCCCAGAGGTGCAGAACCGTGGCTTCCTCAAGGGCTTCTTCGGGAGCAGTGTCCAGACTTTGGACAGGGAGGAGCTGTGTAAGTAAGCATCCCATCATGGGCAAGTGGGACCTGCTTATTATGAAATAAAATATAAATCCTATTTTCTTAAATTATTATTTTTTTTTACATTATATCTTCACCTCTTTTACCAGTTAGCCTCAGGGATAAGAGATTTGCTTTGGTATCCTATGGAGTCTAATTATTACCTTCCTCATATAAACTCATATTAAGCCATAAATAAACCCATAAGGCCTCCATAAAACCAGAGAACTCAAAGAAAAACACTAAACCCGTAAATAAGCCCCATGTTAGGCCACACAAATGCTCTGTCCCACTAGTCGGGGAGGCTGCAGCAGGGAAGGCATCACGCAGCTTAGCCCAACACATCCCTGGCCAAGCGAGTGTGGAGATCCTGAGGGGAGGCGCCGGAGGAGTGGTGGGGGAGCTGGCGAAGGCCCGGCTGGCCCTGGATGAGAGAGGGCAGCGCCTGGGAGAGCTGGAGGAGCGAACCTCCCACATGATGTCAAGCGCTGAGACCTTCTCCAAGCACGCCCATGAGGTACCATCACCAAGACACCGTCACCATGGCGCGGTCACTATGGCACAGTCCCAGGGTAGTCCATTTTGCTCATGCTGTCTTTCTCGTCCACAGCTGATGTTGAAATGCAAGGACAAGAAGTGGTATCAGTTTTAAATGTTCCACCTGCTGGACTTGCGCTGTGTCGTGCGGCCATGTTGACATTGCAAGGACAAGAAAGAGCGTGTTGTCTGCCAAAAAGAGCGTGTCGGATGCTTCTTAGTTGGAAAGATCGGAGGTGAAGTGCCAGACACTGTAGATCATGAAGAACTGGACTGAGGCTGAGAACTGCATGAAGATGTCCTTCTGTTTCCTGTCCACCCTGGACTTCCATATGTCTCAGTGTCTGAGTCCCTGTTTTGCCATATTTGGGGGGGGGGCGGGGGTTCTTGTGTCCCTGAGGTCCTGAATTGTAACTTCTCTAAAGATAAGAGCTGAAGCAGACTGCACAATGAATGTGCTTTGAAAAAACAAGTTATATAAAAAAGGGTAACTATAAAATGACGCTTAGGAAGTATATTCATATTCTTTATGAAAAACCTATATCTACCCACGTTGACCAAAATATATATATATTTTCTTTTCTCAAACAAAAACTGTGTTTTATATTCTGAATTGGATCTGCAGTGTGCTGCAGTGTTTACCTTTCAAACTGAAGGTGTTTGAATCATGTCTAAAGTGTCTGAATGTTATGACTCAGGGAACATTCAGCCCTCTAGCTGTTTTTTTGTGTTTCCATAGATATTAGAACTGGCACATAATCATGAAGAAACTATTCACAGTTTTCATGTCAAAGTGCACAGTAGTTGCATCACCTTAGTTGGTGTATCGTGAAACAGTTTTAGCACAGCTGAAAAGGGTGTTAAACATAACACGCTATACAGACACAATCATGAAGATGTACAGAAAGCTTTTATATTTGACTCAGTCAACCGTTCAGTAGTGTCTGATGAAGATTGACGTTTTTTGTCAGTGATTTTGACATGTGTAAGGCCTTGAGATGGTTTATTGCAGTGAATCCAGTGGATATAACCTGTCTGCCAAAGCCAGTGACTGTAGTACACCTCTTCATTTGCCTCACTTACCATTAGCTGTCTAAGTTATGGTAGCAAAATTTGCACAATGATGTCACACATTTCTCGTATCTGCTAAAACTGGGTATAAGTTAAAAAGAGGCATTAAAAACAAAGACCAAAATGTGTGATTAACAGATCATTATGGACTTCCATGAATAGTATCACTATTATGAAAACAAGTTGAAAAGTTCAGTCTTGTAGTTTTGTGGTATACATATACAATCGAAATCAAAACTAATGTTGAAGCTAAATTTGGGTCTGCCTGTTGTTTCACTTTGTTATCGCTTTGTCTATCGCTTGCTTCTGTGGTAACTTTCCAAAACCAGCTGATAATAAGAAATAACTTTTTAAATTTAAATTTGTATAATGTCTGTTGATATTTGTAATGTTTGTAATATTGTGCAATAATAATTATGTTGTGTCAATATTGACATATAAGTTGAAATATCCTCACATTCCTTGAGGACTTAAATTGCCGAAATTCATAGTAGTTGCTGTTTCTCAATTGAACTATGGACGTAGATTACATTTAGGTTAAATCGTGTGAAGAAAATGCCATTAACCTATGTTTTGATATGACAGTATTTTTTTCAATGTCTACAACATCTGTGCTTTCTTAAGAAAAGAAATGGCAATTTGCTGGACCAGACCTAATTGTGGGAAATACTCAGGACCGAAAACAAATTCTCTCAGTATTAAAGGATATTTGCAAAACAGAATCATACCCCCCTACATACCTATAAATTTCAAAATTAGACCATCTTTTATCACTCGCCATTTGTGGTAAATATTGGTCTATTTTAGTATCTTTTCTCATGTGTAACGTACAAAAACCCCATCAAGCATTACAAATGATGCAGTTAAAGTTAATAAATTTGAGAAGAGTGCATTTCTGAGGGTCCTGTAGTTTTTATGTTTTTAAGACCACTTCGTGAAGTTTAAGAAAATTTTTAGCCTTTTGTGTGTCTGAAAAATATGACGTGTCATTAAATATTCTTGTATTATTGGTAATACTTGTGTTGAACATATCAGTGCACTAACTTTAATGAATAAAGAATGATAATAGAACTGCTTTTGATATAAAATATAAAAACAGGATACATAACCAATAAGGTATGTAGGCCTGACTGTATTTTTAATAGACAGGGCAGCACTTCACAGCTGCCTCTTGCCAAAACTGTATTTGAAATTGTATTTTTGTTATAGATTTTTTTTTTTTATCAGAGAAGAAAGAATTCTCCTGTCAAACTAGATTTACTGTCTTCTGTTTTTTTAAATAAATCAAAACCAGCTAATACAACCCCCGCCAATGTTCCAGCCGAAGTTACGCCCTTGGCTGTAGTGTAATAGAGGACATTAAATCAAAAGCATTGTTGATAAACGTTATACAGTACAAACCTGGATGAGTTAGAAAATTAAGAATAAATTGAGATAAATTAGCATCCCTAGTACTCTGTTGCCAAATAAATCTTTTTTTTTTTCTACGTGGGTGCATATTTTATGTATGCGGTCTTCCGCAAATATGTAACAATATGTAAAATACACTCACCTAAAGGATTATTAGGAACACC